CATTGACCATGAGTTTAGACATTTAGGAGTTGCAGTTGCTGGGATTTATAGTTCACCTATAATCAAAGAGCATTCTGAAGCCCACCAAGGATAGAATTGGGACAAACTTCCCACATAGAACCCTCCATGACCAACAGAAAATACTGTTTTTTCTGGTGGTCTTTGGTGACCCCTCTGACACCCCCTTGCGACCCCCAGGGTCCCGATCCCCAGGTTTAGAAACACTGATTTAGGATGATGCCAATTTCAAGCCCAGCATGGGATGCACTCTGATTGGCTGCAGTACATTATATGGTTTGTTCTGGACCTCCTGATGAGTTTTCTTTTTAATGTGCAGTTTCTGGCTTGACGTGTGCTGCAGCACATTGGGAGACACCCCACCCTCGAGCCGGGTTCGAACTGGATTATAGCGCCTATGTAGACGCACCCCGAGAAATACTCTACACCGGGGCTCCTTAAACTGACCCCTTTCCACCTGAGCCACTGTTTGGAGACCCCAGGTAAAGGTAAAGATAAAGGTAAAAGTTTCCCCTGACATTAAGTCTACTCATGTCTGACTCTGAGCATTGGTGCTCATTTCCATTTCTAAGCCAAAGTGCTGGCAATGTCCATAGAAGCCTCCAAGATCATGTGGCCAGCATGACAGCATGGAATGCCATTACCTTCCCGCAGAAGCGGTATCTATTGATCTACTCACATTTGCATGTTTGTGAACTGCTAGGCTGGCAGAAGCTGGGCCTAACAGCAGGAGCTCACCCCGCTCCCTGGATTCGATGCACTGACCTTTTGGTCAGCAAGTTCAGAAGCTCAGCGGTTTAACCCGCTGTGCCACTGGGGGGGGGGGGAAATAAAATTAGAATGTACTGATCAAAAGTCTGTCCTATATGTGAAAGATCTATGGTCTAAGCATTAAATAAATTATTACTACTGTATCAATTTAAAAACTCTAAAATCAGGACAGTAAATAAAGAGCAACACTCTAAAAGAAGGGGAATTCCAGACAAGAATCAATCATGGCCAGCTAACACCTCCCAACAAAGGATTCCCCCAGGCAGCAATCTCCCAGGCTTTGAAATTCCAAGGCCATTCAATGCTAATTAATTAAGGTGGACAATCCAAAAAGACAAGAGTTCTTTCTCCGACCCTGGACATTATTCCACAGATATATAAACCTCACTTGCCCAGTTTCCAACAGAACCTCTCAACCTCTGAGGATGCCTACCGTGAATGTGGGTGAAACATCAGGAGAGAATGCTTCTGAAGCATGGCCAGACAGCCTGGAAAACCCACAGCAACCCATTTGAACATTTCTTGGAAATATTGGAAACTGGGCAAGTGAAGTTTACCTATCAGTGGAATGATGACCAGGGTGGGCGAAAGAACTCTTTTCTGTTGGAGGCAAGTGTGAATTTTGCAATTGGCCACTTCGATTAACACTGAATAGCCTTGCAGCTGCAAAGCCTGGCTGCTTCCTGCCTGGGGGTCCTTTGTTGGGAGGTGTTAACTGGCCCTGAGAGTTTCCTGTCTGGAATTTCCCTGTTTTCTGAGTGTTGTTCTTTATTTACTGTCCCGATTTTAGATTTTTTTTTGTTCATTTTTATGGTTTCCTCCTTTATTCCCCCAGGCAGGAAGCAGCAAGGTATTGAAACTGCAAAGCCATTCAATGGTAATCAAGCAGGCCAGTTGCAACATTCACACGTGCCTGAAACAGACAAGAGTTCTTTTCCCCAGCCTGGACATTATTCCACAGATATATAAACCCCACTTTCCTACTTTCCAAAAGACCTCACAACCTCTGAGGGTGCCTGCCATAGATGCAGGCGGAACATCAGCAGAGAATGCTTCTGGAACATGACCGGACATCCTGGAAAACTCACAGCAACCCAATAAATCAGTGGTTCTCAACCTTACTAATGCCTTGACCCCTTAATACAGTTCCTCATGTTGTGGTGACCCCCAACCATAAAATTATTTTAGTTGCTACTTCATAACTGTCATTTTGCTACTGTTATGAATCATAATGTAAATATCTGATATGCAGGATGTATTTTCATTCAATGGACCAAATTTGGTGGAAATACCTGATAAGCCCAAATTTGAATATTGGTGGGGTTGGGGGGGGGGGTATTGATTTTGTCGTTTGGGAGTTGTAGTTGCTAGGATTTATAGTTCACCTACTATCAAAGAGCATTCTGAACTCCACCAATGATGGAATTGAACCAAACTTGGCACACAGAACTCCAACAGAAATGACCAACAGAAAATGCTGGGAGGGTTTGCTGGGCAATGACCTTGGGTTTAGGAGTTGTAGTTCACCTACATCCAGAGAGCCCTGTGGACTCAAACAATGATAGATCTAGACCAGACAATATGCCCAAATCAGAACACCGGTGGAGTTTGAGAGCTGTAGTTGCTGGGATTTCTAGTTCACCTACATTCAAAGAGCATTCTGAACCCCACCAACGATGGAATTGGGCCAAACTTCCCATACAGAACCCCCATGACCAACAGAAAATACTGTGTTTTCTAATGGTCTTTGGTGACCCCTCTGACACCCCCTCACGACCCCCCCCCAGGGGTCCTGACCCCCAGGTTGAGAAATGCTGCAATAAATGAAGAGTTTGCAAACCTTGTGAAACAAGATTATTTTCCTGTGTATGAAGTCCAGCAGAAGCCATTTCTGCAGAGTCAATTGCAAACGCTCCACAGTTGTTGCTAACAGGTTGGTGGAAATCTGAGGCTTGATGGCCATCTGTCAGGGATACTTTGGTTGTGGCTTTTCTGCATGGCAAGGGTTTGGACTAGAGGGCCCCTGTGGTCTCTTCCAAATCTTCTAGGATTCTATGAAATGCCTAGGTTTTTTTCGTGACATAGAATCATAGAGTTGGAAGAGACCTCATGGGCCATCCAGTCCAACCCTCTGCCAAGAAGCAAGAAAATTGCATTGAAAATACCCCTGACAGATGGCCATCCAGCCTCTGTTTAAAAGCTTCCAAAGAAGGAGCCTCCACCACACTCTGGGGCAGAGAGTTCCACTGCTGAACGGCTCTCACAGTCAGGAAGTTCTTCCTCATGTTCAGATGGAATCTCCTTTCTTGTAGTTTGAAGCCATTGTTCTGCATCGTAGTCTCCAGGGCAGCAGAAAACAAGATTGCTCCTTCCTCCCTATGATTTCCTCTCACATATTTATACATGGCTATCATGTCTCCATGGATAAGGGAGAAAAGCAGGGATTTTCAGAAGAACATCTATTTCTGTTTTATTGACTATTCCAAAGCCTTTGACTGTGTGGATAACAAATTGTGGCAAGTTCTTGGTAGTATGGGCATACCAAATCACCTTGTCTCTCTCCTGAGGAATCTGTACAAGGACCAAATAGAAACAGGAAGAACTGACCATGGAACAACAGACTGTTTCAAGATTAGGAAAGGCGTATGGCAGGGTTGTATACTCTCACCCAACCTATTCAACTTGTATGCAGAACACATCATGCAACGTGCAGGACTTGACAAATGCAAAGCTGGAGTTAAATTTGCTGGAAGAAACATTAACAACCTTAGATATGCAGATGACACCACTTTGATGGCCAAAAGCGAGGAGGAGCTGAGGAGCCTTCAAATCAAGGTGAAAGAAGAAAGCGCAAAGTATCAAAAAAACCAAGATTATGGCAACAAGAATGATTGACAACTGGGAAATGGAGGGAGAAAACGTGGAGGCCGTGACAGAGTGATGCAGGAGGGAGCCAGGAGCGCCGCTAGTATTTCTAGGTGCAAAGATGACTGCAGATGCACATTGCAGCCAGGAAATCAGGAGACGCTTACTTCTTGGGAGGAGAGCAACGACCAATCTCGATAAAATAGTGAAGAGTAGACATCACACTGGCAACGAAGATCCGCCTAGTCAAAGCCATGGTATTCCCCATAGTCACCTACGGATGTAAGAGCTGGACCATAGGGAAGGCTGAGCGAAGGAAGATAGATGCTTTTGAACTAACTAAAGTTCTGAGAGTGCCTTGAACCACGAGATGATCCAACCAGTCCATATTTCAGGAAATAAAGCCCGACTGCTCATTGGAGGGAAGGATAGTAGAGGCAAAGATGAAGTACTTTGGCCACATCATGAGAAGAAAGGAAAGCTTAGAGAAGACAATTATGTTGGGGAAAATGGAAGGAAAAAGGAAGAGGGGCCGACCAAGGGCAAGATGATGGATGGTATCCTTGAAGTGTCTGGAATGACTTTGAAGGAGCTGGGGGTGGTGATGACCGACAGGGAGCTCTGGTGTGGAGCCACAAGCCATGAAGTCACAAAGAGTCAGAAACGACTCAATGAATCAACAACAACATGACATTCCTGGCCCATGTTCACCTTCTTCCCCACAAGGATTCCAAGATCGACAGGGAGCTCTGCCATGGGCTAGTCCATGAGGTCACGAAGAGTTGGAAACAACTGAATGAATGAACAACAACAACAACATGTCTCCTCTCAGCCATCTCTTCTTCAGGCTAAACATTCCCTGCTCTTTAAGCCGCTCCTCATAGGGCTTGTTCTCCAAACCCTTGATCATTTTAGTCGCTCTCCTCTGGACACATTCCAGCTTGTCAATATCTCTCTTCAATTGTGGTCCCCAGAATTAGACACAATAACATAGAGCCCAGGGGACTCCATTTGGGGTGGGGACCCCACAGTTAGAGGAGCTCACCCACATTCACAGCACAAACCAAATGATGTAGGCGAATCCAATGCAAAGAACCAGAGGAATAGCCCGACAATACAAGAGAGGAATCTTGTATTGTCGGGCCATTAATGAAAACCAGCCGGCATGACCGTTTGCAGCCTCTCCAAAGGCAGATGTGCTCCCCTCCTCTTTTGGGACCCCCCAAATCCCCCCAACTCCAAATCCCAAGACCAGAGAGACACCCAGTTGTTCTGGGATGCCGGCTTCCTTCCCCACTCCCCCCAAAAACCCCAACCATTTGCTTCCCTCTCCCCCAAAGTTGTACCTTGGCTCTCGGCTTGCAAGTTGGGGGCTTCTGCCCACTCCCACGTCCCCTTGAGTCCAGAACTTGCATCCACACCCCTTGGATTTCTCTCTCTCTCTCTTTCAATCTCTCTGGGATTCCATCCGTTCTTTCCTCTTCCAGCCCTGAAGACACAATCGCAGCTCTGGAGGCTCACACACAATGGGATGCAATGCATGCATTGCAAAGCCCACATCAGGGGGGCGGGGGGGGGCGGGGTTGGAGGGGAGGGGGACCCGCCTCACTTTCTGATCGCCCCTTCCTCCCCTCGGCCTTAAAGACACAGCAACACGCATCACAAGAGTCCAGGAGCCCCTCCTCTTCTCTCCATGTGAGACCCACAAGAGAGAGGGGTCTTCTTAGGGACTGCATTCACTTCCAGTGCAACAGATCTCCCTCTCCTGTTTACATTCTTGTGTGCCTTCAAGCCATTGACTCCTCATAGTGACTCTATCACAGGCATGGGCCAACTTCAGCCCTCCTTCCAGGACTTATAGAATCATAGAGTTGGAAGAGACCTCATGGGCCATCCAGTCCTACCCTCTGCCAAAAAGCAGGAAAATTGCATTCAAAGCACCCCCGACAGATGGCAATCCAGCCTCTGTTTAAAAGCTTCCAAAGAAGGAGCCTCCACCACACTTCGGGGCAGAGAGTTCCACTGCTCAACGGCTCTCACAGTCAAGCCATGGTCTAGATTAGGAGTCCTCAAATTAAGCCCCGAGGGCCGAATGCGGCCCTCCAAGGTCATGTATCCGGCCCTTGCTCAGGGTCAGCCTAAGTCTGAAATGACTTGAAAGCACACAACAACAATCCTATCTCATCAGCCAAAAGCAGGCCCACACTTCCCATTGAAATACTAATAAGTTTATATTTGTTAAAATTGTTCTTCATTTTAATTATTGTATTGTTTTTAAGTGTTATTTGCACTACAAATAAGATATGTGCAGTGTGCATAGGAATTCATTCAGGTTTTTTTTTTCAAATTATAATCCGGCCCTCCAACAATTTGAGGGACTGTGACCTGGCCCTCTGTTTAAAAAGTTTGAGGACCCCTGCTCTAGATGCATTCTCTCCTGATGTTTCACCTGCATCTATGGCAAGCATCCTCACTACCTCTGAGGATGCTTGCCATAGATGCAGGCGAAACGTCAGGAGAGAATGCATCTAGACAAGTGTTTCTCAACCTGGGGGTCGGGACCCCTGGGGGGGTCACAAGAGGGTGTCAGAGGGGTCACCAAAGACCATCAGAAAAAACAGTATTTTCTGTTGGTCCTGGGGTTCTGTGTGAGAAGTTTGGCCCAATTCTACAACTCCAAACTACTACAACTCTAAAACTCAAAGTCAATGCCCATCAAACCCTTCTAGTATTTTCTGTTGCTCATGGAAGTTCTGTGTGCCAAAATTGTTTAATTTCATCCTTGGTGGAGTTCAGAATGCTCTTTTTAGGTAAACTATAAATCCCAGCTACCACAACTCCCAAATGCCAAGCTCTATTTTCCCCAAACTCCACCGGTGTTCACATTTGGGCATATTGAGTATTCATGCCAAGTTTGCTCCAGTTACATCATTGTTTGAGTCCACAGTGCTCTCTAGATGTAGGTGAACTAGAACCCCAAAACTCAAGGTCAATGCCCACCAAACCCTTCCAGTATTTTCTCTTGGTCATGGGAGTTCTGTGTGCAGTTCCATAATTGGTGGAGTTCAGAATGTTCTTTGATTGTAAGTGAACTAGAAATCCCAGAAACTACAACTCCCAAATGACAAAATCAGGGTATTTGTGCCATATTTGGTCCAGTGAATGAAAATACTTATAGTCCTCCTATCAGATATTTACATTATTCTTCACAACAGTAGCAAAATTACAGTTATGAAGTAGCAACAAAAATAATTCTATGGTTGGGGGTCACCACAACATTAGGAACTATATTAAGGGGTCACGGCATTAGGAAGGCTGAGAACCTCATGGCCATAATAGCCCGAAAAACCCTACAACAACCCAGTTCTTCCTAATGTTCAGATGGAATCTCCTCTCTTGTAGTTTGAAGCCATTGTTCCGCGTCCTAGTCTCCAGGGAAGCAGAAAACAAGCTTGCTCCCTCCTCCCTATGACTTCATCTCACGTATTTATACATGGCTATCATGTTTCCTCTCAGCATTCTCTTCTTCGGGCTAAACATACCAAGCTCTTTAAGCCGCTCCTCATACGGCTTGTTCTGTAGACCAGGGGTCCTCAAACAAAGGCCTGGGGGCCGGATACGGCTTTCCAAGGTCATTTACTTGGCCCTCATTCAGGGTCAACCTAAGTCTGTAACGACTTGAAAGCACACAACAACAACAACAACAACAACAATCCTATCTCATCTGCCAAAAGCAGGCCCACACTTCCCATTGAAATACTAATAAGCTCATATTTGTTAACATTGTTCTTCAATTTAATTATTGTATTGTTTATAAGATATGTGCAATGTGCATAGGAATCCATTCATGTTTTGTTTTTTTCAAATTATAATCCGCCCCTCCAACATTTTGAGGGATTGTGACCTGGTCCTCTGTTTAAAAAGTTTGTAGACCCCTGCTCTAGACCCTTGATCATTTTAGTCACCCTCCTCTGGACACATCCCAGCTTGTCAATATCTCTCTTCAATTGTGGCGCCTAAAATTTGACACAGTATTCCAGGTGTGGTCTAACCAAGGCAGAATAGAGGGGTAGCATGACTTTTCCCTGGATCTGGACACTATACTCCTATTGATGCAGGCCAAAATCCCACTGGCTTCTTTTGCTGCTGCCTCACATTGTTGGCTCATGTTTAACTTGTCCACGAGGACCCCAAGATCTTTTTCACACGTACTGCTCTCGAGCCAGGCGTCCCCCATTCTGTCTCTTTTCATTTCATTTTTCTGCCTAAGTGGAGTATCTTGCATTTGTCCCCGTTGAACTTCATTTTGTTAGTTTTGGCCCATCTCT